TTGACCTTCTACACGCGAAGTACGGCGATGACACCAAGTTCATCGCATGTTTACAGTCGCGCTTAGAAAGTGCTAGAGCCGAAAACTCGACGCTACCAGCGCAGCGCCGACTACTGGAACTTCTCATTCCAGTAGTAACACAGCTCAAAGAGAAGGGTGTGCCCCTTGACGGATCGTTTCTTGTGCAAAAAATACTTTCGAAATTCTCTGTCGATCTTCAACGAAAAATACTGCAGCGAAGAATGAACCCATCCCTGGGCGACAGCGCTTGGATGATGCAAGAGGTATTATCCGATATTGACGAAATCATATCAATGGAGGAAAAAATAAACGATATGGTTCATAAACAATCAGACGCTAGCACCGGAACGTTTTTTCGGGGACGTAAGCGGTTCAAATCTGGACCCATAGGAATTGGGCAGTGCATATTTTGTGGGAGTGGGAACCACAAATCAATGTTCTGTAAGAAATACGATACATTAGAAGAAAGGCGCCTGGCATTTTGCGAACAGAATAGATGCCTAAACTGCGCCATACCAGGGCACTTTGTCAAAGAATGTCCAAAAGACGGGTGTAAAGCATGCAACGGAAGAAGGCACCACTACACGCTTTGTTCGCAACGCGGTCAACAGCCACGCGATACACCTGCGCAACCACCGCAGGAGAGACGCGCACATGCGCCAGCGCGCAGCAGCGCCTGTCACGGCTCCCAGCGCTGCGAAAACAGCCAGACAGACGCAAGCGCCACAAAAGAAAGTGAAGCACGCGCAAGCACATTCCGTTGAGACAGCAGGTGACGCAGACAAAGCGGCCTCAGCTTGCGAAGAAGAGGACGACAGTCCAAGTATGGTTCTTGCCCAGATAACAGAGTGAAACCATTCTTGAGAAAGAAAAAGGGAGACTCCCCATACGGAAGGCGATGTCTTTTTGTCGGAGTGGCTCGAGTGAGAGACGCCGTTCGAAACCTCTGAAAAGACGTAGACGTTTTGTTGGATACTGGTGCTGACCAGTCCTTTATTAGTCATGAACAGTCAAGAGCTTGGACTCGTTTGCAAGGCGCAAAGGAAATTCGCTATGTACACCTTTGGAAACGCCCAGGCAGACCACATGCGGAGAAACGATGTTGGACCTGTGGGACCATGAAGGTGTCGAACATGAATTTGCACCTTTACACTACACCAGTCCTGACCGCTAGGAACAAAATCGCGCAGCTTGATAGCGCAGATATGGAATACATTGCGCAGCACCAAAATTCCCTTTATCGACAAAGAATGGCAAACACTCTTCGACACCACAGATACTCTTGGGTTGCGACCAGTTATGAAGTCTTCTTGACGTTCCCTATCCTCACCACATCTTACCCTCCGGACTACAACTTGTTCCTTCGAAAATCGGATATCTGCTTACTGGACGACAAATAAAAGCACCTCCACATAAGGAACAGGAAGATAAGAATGTTCCCGGGGTGGAAACCTTCGTGAGTGCCCTTACCAATTTCGATGAGGAGTTGGAAAGATGGGATAAGTATTGGACCATGGACTCAGCTGGAGTATGTGAATTCACTGGAACAAAGAATGCAGAGAAGGAGGCGACAAATGCAAAAGTCGCACAGTTCTTTGAAAAAACTATTGAGAAACGGTGAGGATGGTTATTATATCAGATTCCCTTATGAGGAAAACCATCCACAACTGCCGTCTAATAAGGCGATTGCGCTCAAGCGTCTAAAATCCGTTTTAGAAGCACTGCGCAAAACTCCTCAATTATTGCGCGACTACGCTGAGACGTTCCGTGCTCAAGAAGAGAGTGATAACGCCGCACAAGGAGACGACTAAGTTGCGCATTGTGTTCGACGCATCAGCGCATTTTAAGGATAGTCCGTCTCTGAACGATGTTCCTCACCAAGGCCCCCTTATCCTCCCAGATCTGTACGCTATGCTGTTGCGCTTTAGACTTCCCAAATATGTTATAACTTCAGACGTAGAAAAAGCCTTTTTGCAAGTGCGCTTACATGAGGCTGACCGAGATGCAACACGATTTCTGTGGGTCCGTGATGTAGATGTGCCATTCAGTGAGCAGAATGTGACAACGTTTCGCTTCACACGGGTAACGTTCGGTACTAAATCTGTCACCATGTCTCCTTGGCGCAACTATTCATCACCACCTGCGCAGCGCTATTCAGAATACAGATTTGGCAAATGAAATTCGAAAAAATTTGTATGTAGACAACCTCATTCTCTCTGCCAATACATCAGATGAGGCAACTGGAAAGTCTTTGGAAGCGCGCAAAATCTTCGAAGAAATGGGCATGAATCTGAGAGAATTCTTGTCCAACGACGAAACGCTGCGCCAGGGCCTACCTGAGACAGCATGTGATAAAGCCGCAGCGCAGAAAGTGCTTGGAATTCCCTGGAATTCGAAAACGGATTGTTTGGACATCCAGTGTTCCTTGTCTTCTACGAATCCTGTAACAAAACGTATGCAGCACGTCAAATCGCCTCAATTTACGATCCTCTAGGCTGGTTCGTCCCCCTGCTCGTTCTCGCTAAAAAGTTCCAACAAGATCTATGGAGGCAAAAATTTCAGTGGGATGTGGAGTTGCCTGCAGAGCTTGCTGGTCAATGGGCAGAAACCATTGAGAACATTAACGGCTTTCAGAAATCCATCCCAAGACGATTGTGCCCAAACCTTGACACGCAAAATCTCGCGGTTTTCGCCGACGCTAGTGATGTTGCTATTGCAGCTTGCGCCTATTTGTTCAGTGAAAACCCTTCTTCGCTGATGATGGCTAAGAGTAAGCTGCCATCAATAAAAACGAAGACAACCACGCCAAGATTGGAGATGAATGCGCTTACCTTAGCGACGCGCCTAGCCTTTTCGGTGGCACAGGCGCTCAAGTTTCGTTTGGGCGCCATATACATTTTCTCTGACTCCCAAATATCACTCAGTTGGCTTTCTTCAAACCGCCGAACTAATTTGGGGGTACTTGTGGAAAACAGATTACGCGAAATTCCGCCGAATCGTTCGCCATCTGGAGGATGAGAAAGTGGCCGTCATCTTCGGATATGTCAACGCCTCGGACAACCCGGCAGACGCCGGAACGCGAGGACTCACCAAAGGAGCAGCTTAACCACCACTTTCTGGTGGAAAGGCCCAAGATTTTTCTGTACTCCTGTACAACAGTGGACCACTCCCTTCTATTCGTTAACTACCAACGAGGCGCCCATATTTGCGGAATTCGTGAATGAAGAACCCGCAACCATCAATATGACATGCGGGAAGACCACCAAAGTTCAAGATCTTTTCGACTAGAGCCGAAACAGTTCGTTTTCCATGGCAAAACGAATAACAGCGCTTGCTCTCCGTTTTGTGAAAAAGCTTTGAACGAAGTCTCCAAAGCTAGACTACTCGCACATATCCCTGAATTGATATATGTACAGGACTCGGTAGGTCCTTCGGAGGGATGCGAAATACGTGCAGCGAAGTCGGCTTTGATTCGGAACCATCAACTCATTCACGTCACCAAAGAATATAGGAAATCCATGGAGAACACATTGAGGCTTTATGAAGACGAAGTGCAAATCTGGCGTTCCAAGGGAAGACTGGGCCACTCAGACCTACGCGCGAGCGCTAAGGACCCTATTTTCATAGCACCTAATACGGCGCTAGCAGAAAGAATTATACAGGAAGCACACGGTCCCTTCCACCGAGGCGTTGAGCACACGATAGCCACTGTACGTGAGCACTTCTGGATCCCAAAGCTACGCCAACAGGTCCGAAAAACGATAAAACATTGCCTTCCTTGTCGCCGATTTAATGCGCTACCTTATCATTATCCGATACGCCAGACTTACCTCATCACCGAGTTCTACGGTGTCGTCCGTCCCAACACACGGGACTTGATTTTTTCGACCTTCTAATGTGTGAAGAGAACGGAGAAAAGTACAAACTATACGGGTGTATCTTCACATGCGCAGTGACCAGGTTACTCCATCTCGAAGTACTACGCAGCATGGCCACTAATGAATTCATCAACGCACTACGAAGATTTGTGGCGCGGAGAGGAGCACCTGAATCGATCACTTGTGACAACGCGCCAACCTTCTTGCTTAGCGCAAGCATCTTGGACAGTGGAATCCCCCAGCTTGATGAGGATGTACTTCGTTTGACGTCCAACAAAGAAATTCATTGGAACATATCACACCGTATGCGCCTTGGCAAGGAGGATTTTATGAGCGCCTAATACGTTCTATAAAATAGCCGATTCATAAAGCACTGCGCGTAGGGAGAAAGCGCTCTTTTGACGATATCCAAACCTTCGCTGCTGAAGTCGAGGCCTGCCTAAATTGAGGACCCCTTACTTACCAGGCATCAGAGTGAGGAAATGACCTCCATCCGAATGAGATTTTTTACAAAAGAGCATGGTAGTGACCTCCTTCACCTCTTTAATGCTAACGAAATGGTGCTAGAGTGTGTAAACAATGGAGTCATGATAAGCTAAGCCACTGAAGCTCATGAAGTGCAAATTTGCGCAGAGAATTACTGCAAAGTTAAATCATTTATCAGAAGGACAACAACTTGTTCGATTCCCCCCCCCCCTGAAATCACTCTCCATGATCACAATGTTATTTTAAAGTGGCACTCGGAACAACAACTGGCTACGATATCTACAGTATGTCAAGGTATAGACTTCTGTTCAAATATAGACTGCTGGATCTGTCCTTCCATACTTTTTCAACCCGGAATGCTGGCCAGTTGGAGCAATCCTGACCATGGCGATCGTTCTGTACAGCCTTGTTGCCGTTTTTTACCTGCTACTCTATGTGCCAATGACCATTGGGAAGCCCATTCGGATAATATTGAGAGGCTTACGGGTGACTCTTGCTTACGTTCTGCGCCTTCTAGGGAGTTGTCTCATAAGCTTAGTACGAAAATTCCGAAAGAAAACAACTTCTTCTGCAAGCGCGCGTTTAACGGCAGCTCTCGCAATATTGCTGGCACTGATGTCAAACACGAACGCGTGTCAGGAAGTGAATATTCTTGAACACCACACAACGTTATGCCGGGACATTAGCGGCAATGAGAGGTGCACAATTACGCTTACGGACGTGATGAAACTCAATTCATATAAGCAACAGGCCTGCCTACGCCTTGTTCAGAACTCAACGCTAGTGGCGAATGTGAAACTTCGATGGCGAGGCTTGTATTTGCGCTGCGAGCAGGAAAGTCTGTACTTCACACGAGCTGCGAACCTCAATGTAATCAGCAGCAAGCGTTGTCCCAACATGGGGTCATGTAAAGGCTTAAAATGCGCAGCGATCAATAGCACCAGTCTTGTCGAAGAATTAAAGGATGAAAACAAACATCCAGGACGCACAGGATGCCTCGAATCGTGTGGAGGTATAGTATGTGATTGTTTCTATCCCAGGTCTGGCTGTTTGTTCTACCGCATTTACGCCACTCCACGTAACGCCAAAGTCTATGAAATCTTTGGCTGCATGCGCTGGTCCGAGCACGTGAAATTAGAGGTTATTATTGAGGATGCGGATAGCAGGACGGGTAATCAACAGTTCGTGGTATACTCTATTCCCAATGTTCCTGTCATCCTTCCTCCTCTCAAGATCGTCTTGACATCTCTTTCACTACCACCTACTCCGGCACTTGCACAAGAATTCATCACAGACGGAGTCGACACGTCTATATGGAACAAGGCGATCAGTCCCCATTGCGCTGCAGAACATGGGCAGATGCTTACTCTTTTAATTGCACTATAGAGAAGTCTCTATTATTCTGCAGGATCCGATCGTCGATTGGTGTGTCAAAACGGTGATCTCCACAAGGCCAGCGATCGCGCGGGAATGACGGCTATAAATAGGAAGCTCCAGTGGCACTCGTTATTCATTTATTTGTTTCTTGCTCACATACACTCTCCGAATAAACGTTTAATTACCCAAGTTTGAGGTCCCGCCACCGAACCACTATATGGTGCATCGCCTACGATACGGACTCGAGGACAATTGAAGATACGATTAGGACAAGGAAGACAAGGACTCGAGGACAAGCAAGGACATCAGCTTGAGGAGAATCAAAGCAATCAAGGATATCGCTCAAGGATATCGCTCAAGGACCGTCGCGCCAATCCACAGAGAAACAAGTGGGTGTTAAAACAGCTTTCTGGAAAAAAAATATATATAGCGTCAAGTATATATATTCAAACATTGGAACATCTTTACATTGGAACGTTTGTCGATAATCAATTGAAGTATCTCGTCTTCATATTGGAACGTTAGTCGATAATCAATCGAAGTGTCTCTTATGACTTCTACACTGGAAACTAGGCAAGGCCTTCTCACGCGCGCTAACCGCAGGCTGTCCGCGTTACTGGAGGAGAGTGCCGCGTTGCTAGGCATGCAGTTGGACTCACAGCAACCTAGGGAAGTTAAGGAGCTTCAGAAGCGAATTCGAACGACGAAGGCGACGCTGTCAGTGGAAGTTGGCAAGGTCGAGGAGGCACTGATCAAGTATAGCAATGCCATAGACGACATGCCATCAAAAGGAAAAAATACAAAACACGAGGAGCACATTGAAGCCGCCCACGGAGTACTGGATCGTGCACATGACGCAATGACGAATCTAATACGTATGCAGGAAGAGCTGGAGGATACTCCAAGCGTAGTCCGCGCTACACTATCAGATGTTGCGGAGATGAAACTGGCACCGATCCCCCTTCCGAAGTTCGGTGGAGACATTTGGGAGTGGGATACATTTTGGCGATCCTTTGAACATAACATACACTCAAGGAACGTCGACGACGTGTACAAGTTCAACTACCTACTTGAGGCGCTCGAAGGCGAAGCAAAGGAGGCCGTTAAGCAGTTTCAAGTTTCTGGTACGACATATCCTCTAGTCATCGCCCACCTGCAAGAGAAATACGGCAACGTACAAGCACTTGTGGACAGACTTTTGAGTAGACTCCAGAACACGCGAGCTGGGAGTGAATGCTTAGATGACCAGCTATCGCTGTGTGACCAACTTTCCTCAATCACTTCACAGCTGGAGTTGAAAGGAGAGCACATCAACAACACATTCCTGCAAAAAGAACTGCTCAGCAAGTTTTCCACAGAGGTTCAACGACACGTTCTCCGTCAGAAAAATAGAAAGGAAGCAGAAGGCACGTGGAACACCAGAATTCTACTAGCAGAAGCAAAGGAATTCGTTATCAATGAGCTCAAAATCATCGACCAAGTCCAAAAAGAATCTTCACATCATACGGAAAAGCAAGAGAAACCCGGCATGAAGTTCAGGAAGGAGATGAAAACAACAATGAAAGTTCCAGTGCTACCATGTTTCTACTGCAACAAAAGTGGACACTCTGCAAAAGGTTGCACAGAAGTAACCACACGCAACCAACGCCTTCAGGTCATGAAAATCAAGAAACTTTGCCAAAACTGTGGAGCAAAGGATCACATTGCAGTAAAGTGTCCAAGAGGACCCTGCCGATTATGCGGCGTAATAGGACACCACACTTCCATCTGCATGCAACTGTTTCCTGAGGAGACACCAAGGATACCTCATCAGGGCAAAACCATGAAGAAAATGCAGGCGAGAACTTCACATCAGTCGCAGCCAACGGCAACTAAGATGAACATAGTTCAGTCCCATCAAGGAATGGCAGAGAGTGAAGAAAGAGATACGGTGCTTCACGTCAGTGATCAAAATGAGGTTCTCGTTCTGGCAGGACAGGCACGCGTACTCCACCCGGAAGAGGGAACTAGAAACGGTGCACGTTATGCTCGATACGGGAGCCGATCGCTCGTTCGTTAGCAACGCGTTGGCTGACCGATTACAGCTACAAGATGTCGACACAAGGCGACTTACAATTAACACCTTTGGATCACAAAAGCCAATGGTGAAAACATGCGGCGTAACAGTAATACAGATGTGGGACGCGAAAGGAGCGCCTCACTCATTCACAGTCACAAGGATAGACTCAGTCACAGAATCTATGCAGCGCAGCAGCCTCAGCATAGAGGACAAGCATTTCCTCTGCGATAATGATTTACAGCTATCCATCAGTCCAGCCTCAACCAGCATACGACCTCAAATTCTCCTAGGCTGCGCAGATCTGTTCTCGCTTCTAAGCAGTGGTTTGGCACCACAACACGTACTTCCTTCTGGACTGCGTCTAATCCCGTCGGAGCTTGGATACTTGGTTGCAGGACGCACAACTAGATGCTCAGAAACCAAGGAAGGACAAGCGACGATGAACTCAACAAGCACACTAACAGATGACGAAGATTGCAGTCGTGGGAGGACTTCTGCGCCTTCGAATCATCAGGTGTGGAGGAGTTCGTTGGACCAAAGGCCGAGGAGCGCAAGCGCACAGATGAGGCCGTCTGGAAGACGTTTGAACAGACCATCGAAAGGAAGGAAGATGGCTACTGGGTACGGCTTCCATGGAGAAAAGACGCCGCCAAGTTACCAGACAATAAGGGACTAGCCGTACGTCGCTTACAAACGCTAGTAACTAAGATGACTGCTGAACCTGAAGTACTTCGCAAATACCAGGAAACACTACAGGATCAGCTCACGGAAGGGATCATAGAGGAGGTGGACGAAGCAAAATACCCAGATGGAGAAATCGTGCACTACCTTCCTCATCGCGCTGTCATTACTCCACACAAAAATACAACCAAGCTCAGGACCGTATTTGACGCTTCCGCACATCTAAAAGACGTCCCATTACTGAATGAGGTACTCCACGGAGGACCAGTTTTGCTCCCCAAACTCTGCGACATTCTTCTTCGCTTCCGAATAGGCAACGTCGCCATAGCCAGTGACGTTGAGAAGGCTTTCCTTCAAGTGCGACTCCACAAGCAGGACAGGGATGCGACACGATTTCTATGGCTGAGAGATACCACCCAGCCAGTGAGCCAAGGCAATATCATCACCTATCGCTTCAGTCGTGTGACATTCGGGCTTATATGCTCCCCGTTTCTGCTAGCGGGAACGATCAAATATCACTTACAGCACAATGCGAGGAATAAAAAACTCGCTCGAGAAATCGACAACAACACATATGTCGTGATTACAACCGGATCAGCAGCGGAAGCGACGGACCTCTATAGGGAGTCCAAGGAACTTTTCATTGAAATGAAAATGAATCTCAGGGAATTCATTTCCAACGATATCAAGCGTCAAGCAACAAATCGAGCCAGAGGATTTGAGCAACAATTCTAACCAGGAAAATCCTAGGCATACTCTGGAATTCAGCAGAGGAACGTTAAGCCTGACATGTATGTACCCACCAAGGAGCGCGATCACGAAAAGAATCGTCTCAGAACAAGTGGCTTCAAGTGTACGATCCGCTGGGCTGGCTGACACCGATAACACTTCCACGGAAAACGATTCTTACAAAGGGCTCTGGAAATGCGAATACGAATGGGACGAGCCTCAGACGCAAGAGCATCAGGAACAATGGCAAGGAGATTATTCGTGCAGTCAGCGGATTCCAGCATCAAATACAAAGAAGAGTCAGTCAGATCAACGAACAAGTAAAATTAGTTGTGCTCGCAGACGCCAGCAGCAATGGAATGGCAGCATGCGCTTACATCGCGTCCCTCTCCGAGTCTCACCTAGTCGCTGGGAAATCAAAGCTGCCCTCCATAAAGGAGAAACCAACGATACCGAAATTAGAATTGAACGCATTGACCATGGCCGTGCGACTAGCGCATTCAGTCCATGAAGCAATACGAGAACGACTGATAGTGCACGACGTGATAATCCTCTCTGACTCTGAAATAGCTCTCAGCTGGATCAGTTCGAATCCAATGGACCAGTCTGTGGGTGTTCTAGTGAGGAATCGTGTTCGCGAGATTAACAAACTCGTTGATGCCATCCAAGCAACAGTTTGGTTCGGTTACGTGAATACCGCGTCAAATCCAGCCGACTGCGCAGCGAGAGGGCTGACAAACGAAGAATTCAAAGACCACTTGTGATGGAAAGGACCATCTTACATCACACAGCCATATGAAGGTTGGCCCAAAGATAGCAAGTTGTTCCAACTACCGAAGGACCGTCGGAGCGAAGATGTTTGTGTGCTATCCACAGAAAGTACTGAAGGAATTTCCGAGTTACTTAATTGGAAGCGACACCGCAACCTTCCACAATGTCAGAGAGTGGTAGCCTAAGTTCTTCGATTCATAAGGCACCTACTCAACCGAGTGAACACCAATCTTCGAGAGAAGATTATGGATAAAGTGCCCGAATTGCGCCGGGTTTCAGCATTTCCATATATAACAGCACCTGAAAGAGAGATGGCTCTACAGATACTCGTACGCAATCATCAGAAAGTACATCTTCCACAAGAGAGACAAATGGCTCTGAAACAGCTAAATTTGAAAGAAGATGAGCAAGGAATCTTACGCTGTCGAGGACGGCTTGGAAACTCCAGTCTCTCGTTTGACATGAAGTACCCATATGCCATCGCCAGCAAAACCGACTTCGCGTCTCATCGTGGAGCATGCGCATTTGCCGCTTCACTGTGGCACAGCACATACCATGGCAAAAGTCAGAGAGAAGTTTTGGATCATGAAACTCCGACAGCTTGTCCGATCAGTTATCACCAGATGCGTGCCCTGCCAGAAGATGAATAACCTTCCCTTACAGATATCCGGCAATGGAGGATTTACCTGCCCAAAGAGTACAAAGGACACGCCCCTTTGAACACATCGGGATCGATTACTTTGGTCCACTTTCTATAAAGAAGAATGATGATACCGCAAAGGTCTACGGAATCATACTGACATGTGCAACGACGCGATTAGTTCATCTCGAGCTTGTAGCCGACATGAGCACAACGCATCTCCTACTTGCTCTCCGAAGATTTTGTGCAAGACGAGGAGTACCAGCAAGTATTACCTCAGACAATGCAACAAACTTCCTTCTTGGCGAACAAATCCTCAGCAGCGCCGTTTTTCCTGTGATAAACGACATCTCGTTTGCTCAGTCAATGGCAGAAAAAGGAATCATGTGGAAGACAAACACGCCATACGCTCCGTGGCAGGGAGCTCTGTATGAGCGGTTGATCAAGTCGATAAAACACAGCCTTTACAAGGTTTTGCAACGAGCTGTGCCGACACAGGAGATTTTGGAGACCCTGCTCGTGGAAATAGAAGGTTGTATAAATAGCAGACCCCTTACATACCAGGAGGAAAGGTGGGACGAAACACCCATTCTTCGTCCAATGGACTTCATTCAACGAGACATTATCATCACGTATCTTTGAAACTATAGGAGAAGAAGAAACAGATGAAAGCTACTATTCATCCGAGGAGGTGGCCGTGTTGAAGACTCGTCGCCAGACAGAAGATGCCCTTAAAAGGAGCCATCAGTTGACAGAACGGTTCTGGGCAATTTGGAGCCAACAGTACTTGACCGGATTGCGTGAATCACACAAGCTTCAAATTGACAACAAGCGTAGTACAACCAAAATTCCAGATGTAGGACGTGTTGTGTTGATAGCCGACGCAGTTCTGCCTCGAAATTCCTGGAAAATGGGAAGAATCACCAAGGTGAACCAGACGGAGAAGGGAATTATACGAGAAGTAGAACTCCGACTGCCTAATGGGCGCACAATCCGTCGCCCTGTGAACCTACTAATTCCGCTAGAAATAGAAGACCCGCACCAGCAAGCTACCAATGAAACGGCTACTATGCCAGACACAGCATGCAATAAGGAGGGCATAGAAAAAGAACATGAGGAGTCTCGCTACAACCTGCGACCAAGGAACAAGAAAACGAATTCGTCATCAAACATCATTTTCACGAGGAGTATCGCAGCTACAATCATGCTTCTTGATCGCTTTAGCCTCCCAGCCCGGAGGAGCAACATCACTGTTGCAGAATTATTACCAGCATTCAACAATGATAAGCCATACTCCAGGAGAAATTCGACAAGAATTACGCGAATTCAAGGAAAGTCTGGGCAAGAATCAGGTTACCCTAGCTTCTGCGGAGATGGCATCTCATCCAAATTATGAGCGATGGAAGCTCTTCACTAAAGATCGGTTGACGGTACTTGATACCGCCCTCTATAACAACAGCCGGTGCTGGGTTGACACTGCGAACATTACCGTTTCTGAGCTGGTTACCTACAAAAGTATGGAATCAGTTGAACCTTAGCGTAAAGAGGCAATCAACAAAGATACTTCTGTGAAAAGATGTTCCAATGTTCAAGGAAGAAAGAAAGGAAACTCACAAAATATATTCTACTTGTTTCTTCACTACCGCCTAACCTGTTAGCTATTCTACCTTTGTTCAGCATGGAGAAACCTACGTCAATCGCCACCACGGACAAGAACGTTCGAAGTGCCAGCACCTCCTCGCAAGACTATGCCAATGGTCATGAAGACAGCTCGTCCGGATAAGCCGAAGCCGACAGCGGCCAGCGCGGAATCTGACATAACATCGTCGGAGAGTTCGCGGAAACGATACGCCTCTTCATCGCAGTCATCTGAGGACCTCCCCCCAAAGAAGAACCGCGCATCTGGAACCATATTGAAGGAACTACTCCAACAAGGAAGCAGAATCCTCCAACACGCCGCCAGCAAAGTCGACCAACTGGCCACCAGCGGTCTCGGTGCTCCCATCTAACGAAGCAACGGAGCGTCTGCATGAACAAGAACAGATTATGAAGGCATTCCATGGAGAAAACCTGAAAATGCACCACGCCAATGAAGCAAAAATCGAAAAAATCGATTTGAAAATGAGTCTTCTAAATGCTCGTATCGATCAGATGGACAAGGATTTCCGAAACGAAATCAAGCAGCTACGAGACCATCTATCCCCCATGAATACCACACAACTATCCCTCGACGTCAAAGGTCTCTGCGAACAATTCGAAGAACTTAAACTTCGTCTCTCCAGTATCGATGTAGCAAGGATCACAACCCGTACCGAGCAGCCCAGTCACGACGATACAGCAAGGACCACCGCCAGCATGGAGCAACCGAGATCTGAGCTGGATAGAATTCGAAGGCAACTGGTCGAAACAGAGAAGGAGCTCCAGACGATTCGGAATGAAACGCATGAAGTCAACGCGCTGATTGAGAAGGAAAGGCAAAGGGACCGGAGCACTGCGGCTCTCGACGACTTGAAGGTGAAAGCGACGCCGCCTCCAGTCAAAGGAGTCGAGACTAGAACAGGAAATGGAAGACCTCGAGAGACGACTCGAAAGGGAAAGCACAGAAGCTCCGCTCGCTCAAGCTTACGTGGCAACATGCAGGAAAAACGAAAGGATGAAAGCATCAACATAAGGAAGATGACCACGATAGCAGAAGACGAGATGGACGTGAATCCAGACATCGACGAAGCTCGACTTCTTCACGCGATCACGGTTGCAATTAAACGATGGTAATCCTTCAACTAACAATGGCCGGGAGTATAGAGAAGTCTCTATTATTCTGCAGGATCCGATCGTCGATTGGTGTGTCAAAACGGTGATCTCCATCAAGGCCAGCGATCGCGCGGGAATGACGGCTATAAATAGGAAGCTCCAGTGGCACTCGTTATTCATTTATTTGTTTCTTGCTCACATACACTCTCCGAATAAACGTTTAATTACCCAAGTTTGAGGTCCCGCCACCGAACCACTATATGCACTGTCGACGACAAATGGAAGTGCAGGCGCGGAAACTACAGTTGTTTGTAATTGCCCCTTGAAAGATATCTAGAGAGAATTCCATAAACTTGAGTTAAAAATTCCTGTCAAAACAGCGTCTTGGGAACTAATGCGCACACGGAATTCTTCCCTCTTTGCAAAAATTCCGCATATGGTGTCATCCGACTTCATCATCAGTTTCAATCGCACGATAGACACTGCCGTTGAAATAATTCGGAGCGACGTCTGCACAATAGAGGATGCCTCCCTAAAAGGTTGCTACCACTGCGTGAAAGGTGCAAAAGCAGCAGTTCGATGTTACTCAAGTTCTGAAAGCATTGGTGACGTTTTATGTGATCGCCACGCCTTCGCCATCCCATGCGCACCAAGTGGACCTGAATATATACTACGATTCCGCACGACATTTGCTACAGTGCAAAATAGCATGCGGCACGAAAAGCAAAACGTTCCTGATCACTGGAGTTCTCAAATATATTAGGGTGTCCACAAAGTTCGTTGGCCATTTGTAAACAGCGTCGCGTTACGCAACGCGTTGTGATTTTGCATAAAGATTTCGCAATACTGAAAGTACTCGCGATGGGCTATCTTCTGAGCTAGCTAGCTCTAAATTTCCTTTCCTGCTCTTCCCACAATAAAGCAGTGAAGATGAGTGATAGTCACCACCACCGCCGATGTTTGCTGGACTACTACAACCTGGGCATCTCCAGACGTCAGGCCACGACCAGGATGCGTCAGCAGTTTGGTGATAACACCCCTTCTAAGAACTGGATGTCAAAATGGTGGACTCGCCTCACCAATGAAAACTATGGCATCGAAGATATGCCGAGGTTTCTGGCAGAGCGACCGTTCTCTAACAGAATTGCAGGAGGTCAAGGGGTGAAAGCCCGCCGTGTCCAGAAACTGCAAACCCGTGGTTCTCTGGACCACCGGCGCGCGGCAGCTCCACAAAGCGAGAATACCAGGCCAGTCCGGACAGGCGTGGGCATCGAGAGGAGGCGACACGCATCACCTATAGCCCGGACATTATCCATCGCGATTACCAAAAATTCCTGGACAGGAAAACAGCTGAAGAACGAGCGCGACCTCGAGGACGTGATCGAGGACTTGGGCGAGTCGCGGCTGGCCGGCTTCTGGAGAGGATGGAGTTGCCTCTCTACCCGATCGTTGGCGAAAGGTGGTGGGTATGCATGGAGATTATATCATGGACCGGTAAGTTCAACTTGGTGAGATATCTTTACCAGCTCTGAAAAAACGAATGGCCAACGAACTTTGTGGACACCCTAATATTAATGCCCTTCAATTTCCTCTCCTCTCTACGGTGAAAGGACAAAACACGCTTTACCGAGAATTCCAGTGGCCCGATTTTGGACACATCTTCGACGTCATTTTTACATATTATAAGACATTATTAATAGCACTTATAGTCGTCGTATTAACCTTACTGATATCCTATATATGCTTGAATGCCATAGGATTGCGCGTGATCGCTTTTGTTTTACGTACAGTATGGGCAATCAGCTGTTTCCCAGTGCGCATTCTCTTTGTGTTACTGAACAGCCTTCGGGATCGATATGCGCATCGACAGGCCAATGCCAAGAAAAGCGCTTACAAGGGAGGTCGTTCAGGGCGTGGTGAGCTTTTTCAAAATGGTCTTGTGCATATTGTAGGGGCACATACGAGGACCAGAAAACTGAGGTTCATTTTCGCTGCGCGCTTCTACGAATAAAAAAACGTAAAAAAAAATAGGTCGATGGTTCGGATCCCACCGAGGACAAAATTTTGCTTTTCTACAATTTTTCATTTTTTGGATCCATGTTTGTCTAAATAATTGGTCCTAACAAAAACATTCACGATAAACTGAACAATCCTACTTTTATGGAGCAAAACTGCTTTTTCGTTCGAATTCGTTAGTATGCACAGACTCAGCTCTTCGGCGCTATGCCGGTGCCAGATGGCACTGGAACCGAAAATAAAGTCTAGAATCGTGATCAGGACTGTCGATTACCCCTAGGAGCAAGTTTTGAGCGAAAAATTTTTTTTGACTTTTTCGGGTTGTAGGGCCGACCATTTGGTCGGCAGTGTGAGCGGAGTCTCACATCTTCGTAACAGCGATGCGTATCGTTGACGCTACGGACCGGACAACCCAATAAGCAAACCCAAGAAGGTCAAAACAATTGTTTTGACTGAAAATTCGTTTTTAGTGGTAATCAGTGGCCCTGATCACAAATGTAACACCTATTCTTGGCGTCCACGCAATTTGGCGACAGAATAGCGCTGAACGTTCCCTACATTGGTGTACATAACGAATTCAGTGGAAAGAAGATGTGGCCCCAAATTGTCTATAATTGACACCACACCAGAAGTTACTAAATTCGCAATCAGATCCACTGTATAGCCTATGAGGAACAACGTCCAGCAACAATCTTGTTCAATGGTGCGTGAAAATCGAAATAGTTGAATAGCACTGACTCATGAGGTACAGCTACTCAGAATGTGCCCATAAATGGCAAATATCCGAGTTATATTCATGCGCAGACACTAATGGAAGCGAGAACAGCGAAATCTAAAAAATGCAAAAAGCCACGACGCAAGGGGAACCGAACCATCAACCCCACCCTCACTGTCCGATTGCGAAACCTCCACTCTAGGCCATTCGGTGCTCGACTATGCTAGCGCTCTTATCGTTGATGAAACCATTGCAAGAAGCCGTTCACCCTTGAGCACATGACCCAAGTTGGAAGCTCACTTACGGCGATTTTTCGCTTCGATTCAAACGGCCCCTTTATAAGGACCCCCCACTCAGCAACTGGTCAAAGTTGCAAGTGACCTACGCCGCATAGAGGCCCAGAACGAAGCAGATTCCACAGATTTCTTTTCACTCGTTTTTTACCTTTCCTGGAAGCGCGCAGCGAAAATGAAGCACACTTTTCAGGTCCTTGCATGAGCCCCTACAATATGCAAAAAACCGTTTTCGAAAAGCGCACCACGCCCTGAACGACCTCCCTTGTTGGTCACCTAATAATCGATACACGATACTGGGTCAATCAACATACACTCAGAGTGCGCCGGTCGCTGAGTCATCAAAAAATCAATAATATCCAGATGCGCCGGCGCCCTAATTAGTTAATCATAATAGCAACAAAAAAACATTTTTCTTATTAGCAGTTTCTTTTTTCAGAACATGGAAGCACTGCGCCGTAACCTCCGCAAGGTGGAAGAAGAACTTCGCACAAGTTCGGAAAACAACTTGATGACAAGACAAAAGCACTACAAGAATTGCGCCGCGCCCTTCCACCAATCCCAAATCCAGAACATCTTTACCGCAACATCATAGATCGCTGTCACCAGTTCTATGCGTGCACCACCTCCACGACGGAATTGAGTAACCGCATAAAAGCTCTCTCCAGGTCCGTCGACAGCTATGAAAACCGGCTTCATGAAACATCGTTGCTGGAACTCTCAGTAGACAAAGTTCGTGTGGAGATACTCTTCATAAGATTCCAGCTCCGAACGTTTTTTTCTGCGCCTGCGCTCCTTTGTGCATTTGGACTCACTACGATGGAAGTGTGGCAAGCCTGGATGGATCGCCCGCAAGAGAACGAAGCGGGAGCGCCATTGCTTGAAAAGTCGTGAATTCGGTTTGAAATTCGCTAGACTTGTTCGAGAAGTAGCGAATTTAGCTCGAAAGGTCGTGAATTCGGTTTGAAAGTCGCTAGACTTGTTCGAGAAGTAGCGAATTTAGCTCGAAAGGTCGTGAATTCGGTTTGAAAGTCGCTAGACTTGTTCGAGAAGTAGCGAATTTAGCTCGAAAGGTCGTGAATTCGGTTTGAAATTCGCTAGACTTGTTCGAGAAATAGCGATTCAGCTCGAAAAGTCGTGATCTTGGTTTGAAAAGTAGTCTATTTGGTTTGAAAAGTCGTGAATTTGGTTAGAAAGTCGCTAGATTGTTCGAGAAGTAGCAAACTTAGCTCGAAAGTCGTGAATTTGGTTTGAAATGTCGCTCATCTGGTTCAAAATCGTTTATGTGGTTCAAAAGGTCGTGAAATCGGTTTGAAGGTCGGTAGACTTGTTCGAGAAGTAGCGAATTTAGCTCGAAAGGTCGTGAATTCGGTTTGAAAGTCGCTGGCTTGTTCGACAAGTAGTGAATTTAGCTCGAAGTGAATTTGGTTTGAAATGTCGCTAATTTGGTTCAAAAGTCGTTTATGTAGTTCGAAAAGTCGTGAGTTTGGTTGGAAAAGAAGTCTATCTGGTTTGAAAAAACGTGAATTCGCTTTGAAATTCGCTAGATTGTTTGAAAACTAGCGGATTTAGCTCGAAAGTCGTCAGTTTGGTTTGAAATTCAATAGTCCGGTTCTAGAAGTAGCGAATTTAGCTCAAAAATCTTTTATTTTGCTTGAAATGTCGCTTATCTGGTTCGAGAAAAAGCGAATTCAGCTCGAAAAGTCGTGAGCTGACGATGTGATGCTCACCGGTGAGGATAAGAAGGTTCTCGAGCAGTAGGTAGAACCTTGGCCTGAGCGTTTGGCGAACTTCGGACTCAGTCCGATCATCAAGAAGACCGAGTACTTAACAAAGGGCTCGGACGAAGCAGTTCCCTTACGACGACGAGCTAAGGCGCACAATTACTTTCAAGCACCCGGGATCAACAACTACGTCTGATGGCATTCTGGACTAGAGAGTGAGTTCGCGTGTGACTGCAGCCTGGTCTAAGTGACGCTTTGACACGCGTTCTTTGCGACAAGACAGTACCAGAATGCCTCAATTGAAGATCTATAGAAGTTATTCGATCTGTAGCGATTTGCGGCGCTGAATGCTGGCCTGCGACCAAAGCAGTTAAGATCGGCTGGGCACGATGGAGATGAAAATGTTGCGCTCTACGGCTGGCCTTACGCGTATAGATCGCGTCCGAAACGACGACAAACACAAGAGACTCGGTGTCTTCCGTAGCCGAGAACATGTGCGTGTCGCCTCCGATGGTATGGACATGTAGTGCGTGCGTATTCTGTCATCCCCCTCGCCATAACACTAATCTCGAGCTGGAGGTGCCCGGAAAGCGATCAAAGGGACCCCCCAAACAGCGCTGGCTATACACGCGGCATATAGACTTGAAGATAGTGGGCGCTAATCCCGACCACGAATTCAATCGGGAAAAGTGGCATCCCAAAATAAGAGCGGATTCCGCACTGAGCGAAACAAACGTTGAAGAAAAAAGGTTTATCATTTTTCTGTATTGTTGGTATGTACCTACGTATTGTGAGATATGCAATCAGGGAAGGTTAACAGCTCAGTCCGACTATTGCAAGGCAACGTACACCGAAGTATGCGTCCTGAGACACTGAGCACAAATCTTACTACAAAATTTGCGGAACAACTCTCTGGACGCAGTTACGGAGGGTTTTCTCCTCGCGTGGTTGTTCTACATGCCGTCGCGAAGAAGCGTGGAACCGCCCTTACATATATGTGGAGGGTTACGCTGATACTTAGAGGGGAACAGGTAGCGGGGGGGGGGGGTGTCACAGGCAACCGTGACGTTGCTTTTCTGCATTTTCATGAACATGGTCGGCCTTCACTAGCTTATCAAAGAACTTGCCATTAGTTTTTTTTCTTTGAAAGTGTAGACCCATTATGGCCTGGTGGAAGAGTGCTTGTGCTTGTCTCCTCTTAACACATGCCGCAAGGGTGTTCATCATAAATTAGGGTGATATTTCATGAGCAGAGGGTCAACGAGGGTCTAGCCAAATCTGAGAATTTGACTCAACTTAGAGAATGTGGACAAGCGCTTTAGCATATAGCAGAGGAGGATAATATTAAGCAGCAACGCAGCGCAAATGCTAGTGAGCGTGTCTTATATACAAGAGTTGGTGGGGACCATTCCCGTGTGGCCGCCTCACATTGCATTTTTTTCAGGAGCATAGGCAGCAAAGCTCCGAACCTTACTGTCCGCAGTCACTTGCCTGAAAGAGAGCGTGCAATCAGTTTATCAAAGTATAGACGTCTTGTGACCGAAAAGTGCTTGTGTTTGTTCCACTCGTAACACAGGTTGAAAGGTTTGAACTAGGTGAGTTCATGCTCAGTGATCAGGTTACTCCTGAGGACGAGTTCCGAACCGAATCTGAGATTCAGATCCAACTTTGAAAAGTGGGATAATGGATAAAGAGCAGCGAACAGAAGCTAATGTATCACGACTGAATTCTGGATTGCTTTTTGGAAAAGACATGACTGAAGAATTAATTCAGCCCGAAGACTAGCCACCGGTGGTAGATGAGACCTGGTATCACTGGTGGCTACCATTCAGCCAACACTGCAGGTGCCAACGCTTCGTCACCAGCGCGCCTTAGAGGAAAAAAATAAGAAAAACTTCCAAGACTCCGTTTAGAGAATCTTCCACAAATTTTGAGGGTAGATTTGAGTTCATCGTCTCAGAGACCTATTGACCTTTCTTAATAAGTTCAGTAACTGGAACTGACTTTGTGCCATTGCATTTATTAAATCCCAGGATTTCAAGATAATGGCGCGAAAAAGGTCACAGAGAATAATTCACCACCCAAACAGTCAGGCCATTTCATGGTCGTGGTATTTGTTCGAAAATGAGATAGATCCAGGAATAAACATAGAACAATGAAAGTTAAGGGGAAAGAGAGCTTCATCTTCCCTCTTTCGTTACTGTCTCTCTGAGATCTAATCACTGTTTTCCTTTTTTTATTGCAACTCATTTTTCTGCCCTGGTACGGCTTCCCTTTCCCCCTAGTGCTAGCTGCCATGGCGAAAAGAATGTGTACCCGGAACGAATTCGCTGTATCGAAAATTAACGATGGAGACGTGCTGCAGTTGTGGCCAGCAACTGTTAAAGAGCGTCTGGTCTACTTACCTTGGGTGGGGCCGACTGATGGGTGCGGGGGCAACCGACAGAGTACCAAAGGAATTTGATGAGGTTGATGGTCTACTGTGTGAGCTGGTAGAATAGGAGAAAATGAACACGTTCTGTAGAGTTAGCACTTCAAAAGGTATTGTAAGTGAACAGCTCAGAGAATAAGTCGAGGGATTCCCGGACATGTCTCGCAAAATTGCTCGATCGCTACAACTTCCGAGATGGAAATGTCCATACCACCCTCCCCCCCCCTCCCTCCTCGCCCCATCCATATTAAAGCAAATAGTAGCTGCAAAGAATTCCACAGAGTAGTATGCTCTTCCTACTGCACCAAAAATTCCTTAGATTATACAGCAGCAGTTGAATTCGACAAGAGAACGTTGCCCATTGATTCGTTCAGTTGGGCCAAACTACATTCACGTTTCACGTTCATGAAACGAAACTGAAAAAATCTGTGGAAGTTCAGCGCTCACCGCCGGCACAACAGGATTCAGTCCAGTTCGTTGAAGCAAAGAAGATCGAAGTTCTTGGACATCATCATCAGTGCCAGATGAGCTCTCACCAAGTCCAAATTCAGGAGCAGCGACGGCGGATGTTTGCTGGAGAAGACTGTATAGAAACCGGAGAGGCGTATGCGTGCAAATGCAACACTTACATCTGGCATACTTGCAGCCTTTACCATGTTCGAGCAAGATAAAGCATTACTATCCCTCTTAGGGTGCAGAAGAGTGTCTTGAGTGCAGAAGTTCATCGGAGGAGAATTCCCTGTTGGTGTGGGAGGCAGAGGTTTGTTCGGACCACGCAGAGTTCCCCCAATAGACTCCTGAATACGTTTTGAGTTAAAATAGCGAGCAGTTTTGAAAATGAGTTCGCGCCGAGACAAGAATATTCCAGGCGTCATTGTCCGTTAAGCTTTTTCCAACTCACATCATCTCCATCGGTAGCACCAATAGACGTGTCACGTGGAGGGGGAGCAGGTGGAGGAGGTGATACGCCTTTAGGAGTACCCGTGATGAGGCCGATCTGCGACAGCTCACAAGCTAGTACATCCAAGTCCTGAAAAAGTGTCAAGGGCCATCTGATGCAGATAAACTAAATATAAATCTCACAGAGAAAAGCATACCTTTTCTTCACTCCACTTTTACCCATGAGGACACTTTTCAGATGAAAATTTTAGGGTCTCATATTAGGGTTTTAGGATTTTAGTGTTTAGGGAATTTAAGGATGAAAATAAGAACGGCCTAAGCGTCCCACTCGTTAGTTTCAAGTATTTCTATGGCTTTAGAGCCGGATTCGAGCCGGATCGCAGAAATGCACACGCGATTTTAATTTATTGCGTTTCCTTAGTTTTTTCAATTTTGTTTTATTTACATCTACATTCGTTGTTCATTTCTAGCCTTTGTCATCTTCATCACCTTCTATTCGGACTTTGAAGCATGAGCAATACCTCAAATGTTAGGAAATTGCGTTTTGCTTGTATTGTCATGTTTTATTGTCATGTTGTCCGTTTTTATTGTCATGTTCTGTGGGAATGCGCGGCCTCTGAGGGATATTGCAGAAGCACCACAGTTGCTCTTGAGTTCTAGCCCTTGTCATCATCTTCGGTTCTTATTTTGCAGCACCTAAAATGTTATCCGCATAAAGAAATTGCGTTGTACTTGTATTCCAAAGCGCAATTACAGGACTTGGCAAAAAGCCAAGAGAGCTGCACGCGACCGCGCCGCGCGGTGTTAGTAAAAACGTGAGTTTGCAAAAACGGGCGGCGTAGCAAGGAATTACGACTTTCCCACGGCCCCGTACTCTGACCCCGTGCAGTTTTGGGCGGGGGGACCACGACACATCGACAGCTGGGGGGCTGATAGTCTCATACACCCTCAATGTGTTTGAGCGTACCATGTGTCTTTAACCAGAAAAGGGCAACTAGCTTGGAGAACCAAAAGTCGAAAAGATGTTCGCTAGGTGCCACCCCTCATAGAGCAGTGAACGGCCAGGATCATTTCTTCATCAACGAAATAATGCAAAGTTAAGAGAAGGTCTCCCATAGTTGCCTAAACGAGGAAGACGAGCACGTTCCGTTGGTGACAGAAACTTCACCCTGGGCATGGGATAAACAGTGTAGCGGCGAGCTAACTTTACCTCCCGTTTGTGACTCTCTGAGCTGATCAGCGCTGTTCTGGCGGGAGGTTCTTAGTTCATTCACTAATATTCAGCTCATTTACAGAATGAAATCAATGAATGTGGCTGCGAGCACGTCGAGGCGATTGTGTTGGCCTTAGTGCGGAAATTGATGAGTAAACGCTGGCGAGTAAATGTCTGTTGAGCCAGCTGTGTCTCATGATGGATTCGTCATGATTTCCTTGTCTAATGACTTCTAGAATACCTTGGCTAACTCTGAATTTTTTTGTTCATCTACCCAGTACAGTTTATAGACCAACATTATCTACAAAACAGGAGGAAGTAAGAGAATATTCTAATGTAAAACTACAGAGGCTTCCAATCGAAAATCTCGAACGTCGGTCTTGAGGTCTCGCAGATCAGTGTGCGACTCCTCCTTCAGAAAGTGGGTTGAAGAATGGAACAAATGGTAAGCTCATTGCGCGAGACCACTGCTATGTAATGTATGCGGTGAAATTTTCATTAAAAGTATTTGGTGTTTCCTGAAGTTCAATTGAAGTGTGAGGTCGATTGTCGCGGGAAAAAGAAGTCAGAGTCTGGTCTTTTCTCAGATTGCTGGCTACATAAGCAAACTGCCAGGATTCCACATGGCCAGTATTGAAAATTGGTCGCAGTTCCCAGTGCTCGACTTCTTTCCAATCGTACAACAACATAGAAGATCACAAGTATTAGCTTCAACTTTAATGAACAGCAATGATTTTAATTTTGATTTATTGAAGTTTAACCACTGACAATGGGGATTGCTCCAAAGGACTCAAGGGAATCAGTACGTTGTCAGACATGCTTGAGGCCGCTGCGTAATCAAAACTACGAATCTGCGGATCTTTCTCAGAGGAAAACCCCGCAAACTGTGGATGGTGGCGTTCGGTTACAAACCTATAGCTAAATGAATCTCCTGAAAAGCAAAAAAGAAGAACATCTCGAGTGAGAACTTGTCAGCTTTTCTAGACGAGCAATTCGGAGCTGCTCGTTTTATGCCGCAAAAGCGATATCCTGCCGCCTAGTCATTAATCGTTCCTTCGCATCAACCAATGCTAATACTACCTCACAGTAAGCTCACAGTGAGAGAAGAAAAACGAAAAACACGGTGTAAATACTGATGTCGTGATAAAAGTTACACTTGAGTTTCGGGCGCGGGACAACTAGGACGGCGAAAAAACTGCCACTTTCGAGGGTCACAGAGCCTTAATTACCTAGGAGCCACGATAAAGGGAGACTCTTAGAGACTGGGGGCCAATCCTTTTTCATGAGGAAGGACGCCTACAAATTACTTGAGCGATCAGCGCTGCAGCGCTGTCTCTGCGGGGGTGCTTTGTGGAACAACGGTTAGTTCGCTATTCAACACGAGTGTAGACATCTGAACCGATACTCTGGGTATCCCTTGGGGTGGACCGTCCTTAAAAGGGCTTTAGTTTGAGAAGACGTAGGCTAGCCCAGTGCCTGGTTGGCCGTTGCAACGTGCCGTTCAAAACAATACTAAAAAGCATTCATGAAAAGAGAGGAAAATAAAGTAAGGCAAGCTCTCCTTGAGCACCCTGAGAAAGTGGGATGATAGTGATAAAGAACAAACAGCGAAAAATAGTTAGATCGAGACTGCTGATTGAGATCCTGGAAGCCCACGCGGGATTACAGAGAGTGCCTCGGGAATCTGAGGTCTTCACAGGAAGTTCTATGGCAAAATTGAACTACCTGACACAAACGTTGACTGAGGTCCTCTTTATGAGGATACTATCGGGAATAAATGACACTCAAATTCCAGGTTTCAGAACCAATTTAAAGGAATCATGTGACACTCAGTGTAGGTCTCTTTCGTATTCACGCAGCACCTCTGGCTCCCGAGGAACAGGCCTTCCTTTATATCACTGGGAGAGCAATTTTAGTACTGAAAAAATGTCGTAAAGCTCGCTAAAGTTTGAATGTAACGTTTAAATGCTTGTCGCGCTGAAGCACCCATGCTTGTATTTATCCTGTATATATATATATATATATATATATATATATATATATATATATATATATATATATATATATATATATATATATATATATATATATATATATATATATATATATATATATATATATATATATGTATAGTAAAATATCATAGTATTCGAAATGCGTAAAAAATTTTATATATATATTGTGCGGATCACCGCGGCTGCAGCCGGTGCTCCTCTTTCCCCGCTTCAGCGGCTCGGGCCTTGCGCCAGGCTCCTTCAACTATTACGGCGATATTACAATTCCGCGATCAGTCTTAAGCTTAAAGGCACATTCGCGATAAAATAAGGCTATGATCTCTCAGATGTGTCGGACGATCCGGAAGGCGATTTTTGAGGCTGCGCTACTTTCAAAATGTGAAAAACGGCAAGAACTCCGCTAGAAGCTGACTAATTAGGCCCATGGACACCCCTTAGGCCCATGCCGACCCTCACCGGCTGCTAGCTACTAGCTAGTAGCCACTATGTTATCTTTCTCTATAACATTTCGGACTGCTTTTTTCTGCTGCTTTTCTCCGCTAATCAGATACTTAGCACTTTTTTGTGCCTATTTGAATTCCGTTTCCCGCAATTTGCGGTCGCGAACTGTCCCTTTAAGGGGCATAACTGCAGAGTGATGGGTTGCAATAGAAAGGAGAACTTAACATTGCTTGGACTGTAAAAGTGTGTGTGGGAGAGCTCGAATGTTACACCGACAGCACGTCACCATTCCCAATTGTTAAGTTCCTTCCTTATACTGCTTGAATTGCGGCCGCTCCTACCGCGAAATTTTTTCGATTGATGATTTCTCGATTTTTCACCCCGTGTTCAGGCCGCGGCTAATAACACCCCCCCCCGCTCGACAGCATTTCAAATATCTAGCAAATATCTAGTAGCAAACACCTCGCTGACCATTATTCGTTGACATCGAAGAAATGAGTTCACCCACTGAGGCCTCTAATACTCGGCATTATAGCGGTAAGAAGTGATCAAAATGTAGCGCAGATGGCATCTTATCGGTTTTTATCGATTGATAAGATTACCTGTCACCCGTCATCAATGTCCTCATCACTAAATCTCTATATTTTGGTAGCGTGAACCACCTTGAACAGCGACGACGACTGCAACTTTCCTTATCAGCCCCTATCGGCAGTTATCTCTTCCAGCCACCCACGGCTGATGTCCACATCTCCCCTTCTATATCACCTGCTAGAACCAACGCCTCACTGCCGCTGTGATCTGCGATGTGAACACCCAGTGACCATAACTTTCTAATGGCGTTATCGAATCTTATCAGGTGCTGACACTTCGTGTCACCCACCAATGATAATCTTGTCCCATACCTTTTATCATCTCTTGAGATGGACACTTAAAGGCACATTCCGCGATAAAATAAGGCTATGACCTCTCAAATGTGTCGGACGATCCGGAAGGCGATTTTTGAGGCTGCGCTACTTTCAAAATGTGAAAAACGGCAAGAACTCCGCTAGAAGCTGACTAATTAGGCCCATGGACACCCCTTAGGCCCATGCCGACCCTCACCGGCTGCTAGCTACTAGCTAGTAGCCACTATGTTATCTTTCTCTATAACATTTCG